GACCCAGCAATCCCACTTCTGGGCATACACACTGAGGAAACCAGATCTGAAAGAGAAATGTGCACCCCAATGTTCATCGCAGCACTGTTTATAATAGCCAGGACATGGAAGCAACCTAGATGCCCATCAGCAGATGAATGGATGAGGAAGCTGTGGTACATATACACCATGGAATATTACTCAGCCATTAAAAAGAATTCACTTGAATCAGTTCTAATGAGATGGATGAAACTGGAGCCCATTATACAGAGCGAAGTAAGCCAGAAAGATAAAGCCCATTACAGTATACTAACACATATATATGGAATTTAGAAAGATGGTAACGATAACCCTATATGCAAAACAGAAAAAGAGACTCAGATTATAGAACAGACTTGTGGACTCTGTGGGAGAAGGCTAGGGTGGGATGTTTCAAGAGAACAGCATCGAAACATGTATATTATCTAGGGTGAAAAAGATCACCAGCCCAGGTTGGATGCATGAGACAAGTGCTCGGGCCTGGTGCACTGGGAAGACCCAGAGGGATCGGGTGGAGAGGGAGGTGGGAGGGGGGGACCGGGATGGGGAATACATGTAAATCCATGGCTAATTCATTTCAATGTATGACAAAAACCACTGCAATGTTGTAAAGTAATTAGCCTCCAACTAATTAAAAAAAAAAAAAAAGAATCCAGTTCAGTTCAGTTCAGTCGCTCAGTCGTGTCCAACTCTTTGTGACCCCAGGAACCGCAGCATGCCAGGCCTCCCTGTCCATCACCAACTCCCAGAGTCCACCCAAACCCGTGTCCATTGAGTCGGTGATGCCATCTGACCATCTCATCCTCTGACGCCCCCTTCTCCTGCTCTCAATCTTTCCCAGCATCAGGGTCTTTCCAAATGAGTCAGCTCTTTGCATCAGGTGGCTAAAGTATTGGAGTTTCAGCTTCAGCATCAGTCCTTCCAATGAATATTCAGGACTGATTTCCTTTAGGAATCCAGGGGTCTCATTTAACAAATGTGGGAACAGAGGCTTAGTGAGGAGAAGGGACTTTCTCAACACACGTCCACATAATGAATTAAACCCAAATCTTCTGACTTCTAGCATAAGATTCCTTTAAGCCCTGATTAATACAAAAGCTCTTACTATGAGGTGAGAGGGAGGAGGAAATTAGAAAAAAAGAAGAGATTGTTGAATGAGGTGCCCACTGGCAGACAGGAGCACTGACAGGGGTGCAGGGAGACCAGAGACCTTGCGGGGAGGGCAGGGGAGTCTGTTGAGGAAAGAGGAGATGGAGGCTGAGGCCTAGCTGGGTTATTTTCAGAGCTGCTATATTTATCTGCATCTGCTAAATTATTAAACTGATATCACATCCTAGAGGGTGCCAGGCCAGGTTGCCAGCAAGAGACTGAAACGGAGGCGTTGGATCTCTTAGCGGAGGGCTTGACTCTTTTAGCTGGGATGGAAATCGGCTTTTCAAGCCTTGACTTCCTACCCCAACGCCCTCTCAGCTGACACAAAGTAGCTGTGGCTACTTTGGGCCACATCTGCACTCACCATTCGCTCTGGAAGTTTCTGTGTCTGCGGCTGCTGTCCTAAAGGGGTGTGTACGTAATGGATAAGACTCTGAAACCAGGTCTGCTCCCCGCCCCCGCCCTCCTCCGCTGGGCTGCCTCTTCTCTTTCAAGGTCTCTGACTCAGACCATAGACAGACATGACTAGCTGTGAAACCTTGGAGGAATCCTTGATCTTTGCATGTCTTTGTGCCATAGGTATTAACGGTTCCATTCCTCAGACCCTGAAGCTCACAGAGAAAGCACCTCTGTCAGGGTTATGCAGCTTGGAAAGAACTAAGCTTCAATTCAAATTCAGATCTCTCCAATTCCAGATGCCTTTTTTCTCTATTCTTTTTAAAAAATATATTTTAGTATTTTCTCTATTTCCTGCAAAGAGAATGTATAACTTTGATAAGATCAGAAAAAAAAGAATAATCATTATAGTTTTAAAATTTTATTTTCTAATTCCAAATGTTGTGTTAGCTGGGCTGGCTGTGTCCTAAGTGATGGTTGGCTGTGGCCCTTGCCCACTACTGGGAGCACGGAGCTCAGGGCAGTTAAGGAAGCTGGCAGATGCCAAAGGTCTCTCACCTCTGGTCCTATACACATGGTGTCCCCATCCTGAATCCTTCTCCCTTCTTGTCCCCGCTCCCCAGCTGTGCATCTTGCACTTTGATTCATCCTTCAGATCTCTGTTTAAATATCTTCTATGGGGAACTCTCCCTGATCCCCTCTCCACCTAGCTGGCCTCAGTGTTGGCTCTCTGCTCCCACTGCCTCTGTGTTTCTCCTATCCCAGGAGATACCTCACTGAACTGCGGTCACCTGTGTCCTCCCTGGACTGTGTGCTCCCTGAGGGCAGGGCCCCATCTGATCATCACTTTACTGCCAGCAGCCAGCTCAACAGAGAAGGTAATGATCAAATTTGTCAAGTGAGTGAAATAAAGGGTGAATGGGCAAATGAATGAAGAAGTGGACCTCTCTATTCCTGACTAGCTCTGAATACCCTTGTATTATTTTTCAATTTAACGAACACTATGTGAGTGACCTTATGGAGACAGGCACTGTACCTCACTTCAAGGAATCTAATGAAAACCAAAACCAGTCTGGGAAGAAACTATTAAGTAACTAAACAATAAACATATATATCTGACTGGTGGGAAATGCCATAGAGGGTAGGAATGGGGGACATATCAGAGAACAGCAGGGAGCTAAGCTATGCCTTTGGGGTGGGTCAGAGCTGTGTTTGAATCTTTGTCTGGTCACTGATTTGCGGTGTGACCTCGAGCAATTATCTTTACTTCTCTGGGCTTCGGTTTCCCATCAAGAACAAAGGCTGCTGATGTCCCTCCCTTAGGGATTCTGTGGAAAGATGAGAATGTTCATCTATTCGGTAAATGTAGGCTGACTTCAGAGAAACAACTTGCCCCAAGTCACCCAGATGGGCAGCGTGTGTGGGATTCAAACTCAGATCTGAGTGGTTCTCTGGATCTGGCTGATGGTGGAAGGTGAAGGTTAAGTCCTAATCTTTCCTCCCTTGATTCATCCCCCAGAAGTGGGGAGCAGTGATCTGCTTGATGATCACCTGCAGATCTCCCCACAGTGATGGGGGAGGGGTCTTCTGCACAGAGAAGGACACAGGTTTGATGACACGAAGGAGACCATTCAAAGGGATGACACCAAGCAGCAGGGCACTGCGTCATCCCATTGAGCTCCTCTGACTCCCCAAGCCCCATCCTGTCCACTGAACTTCCCTTCTCCTTCTTCCTCTGTGAGCCTCTAGCACCAATGCGCCCCCTAAACCCCTCTCCCCTCACTGAGTCCATCACATTCACTGAGTCCCCTCCTCCAAGCCTCCACCACTTCTGGTCACTGAAAACCCTTCTCCTCATGCCCTTCTTCTGAGTCTTCCTCCCTTCCTGTTCACTGAGCTTGACAGCCCCCTCAAGGACCTCTCCTTCCTCTCCCAGCCCCTGCCGGGCTGCTTCTTGGGAGCCAAGCTGTCTCGCCCACGCCCACGAGTTCCCATCACTCAGTCAAAGGCACTTAAAAGCACTTAGAGAACAAGACGGTGCGGGGGTGGGGCGGGGTGCCGTGTGTGGAGGGGGTGTGCACCCAACCTCCTCTTCCCTCTCCACATCAAGCCAGCGCAGCGTCCCCTTCAGCCTCCTCTTCAGGCTGAGGCGGTAGTCACACTGGCCACACTTTTGGCAAGTTCCCCCCACCCCCCAGCCCCCGCCCGACCCCTCCTGTGAGCCCAGTGTCTGCTGCAGTTCTTCTCTATCGGTCTCAGCTGGGTTCCGGCCCTCCAGCCCCTGCCATCACTTAACAGAGCCTTTTCATTTCTGAGGGCACTTTCCAGTGGATGGCAGTGCCATGGTGTCTGGTCAATGCTTGGAGCGGGTATGGCAGGATCCACTGCGGCTGTGGAAAAAATAACTAGAGCTCAGTTCTATCATTTTGCCAGTATGACTAAAGTCCCAGTGAAGCAAAGTCCCGTCAGTGACAGTGAGCCCAGGTTATCTGAGCTTCCCAAGGGCATGAATGGCTGAGCTGGTCCCATTCGGTGGTCCAGAATGAACCATGGACCACAGGCAAGACTCCACTACACCTTCTGGTCCTGGTTCCTTCTCTCTGTGAAAGGTGTGGGGACACCTACCGGGAGGAGCAGACAGGAGCAGAGGGGCTTGAAAAGAATTTGGCCCACTGAAGGGTGGGGCTCCTCTGGGGGGAAGGGGGCGGGCGGGCACTAAGGTTTGCGAAAGCTGCGCCAAGCTCAGCAGCAAGTGCTGAGGTTTGCTCCGCAAGTTCAGGGCCTGCCTGGTGAGTAGTCAGTCCTGCCAGATCCCCACCAGGAGGGGCCAGTTGCCCCTCTGCGTTAATCTCTCCATGGCCGCCAGGAGATTGAAGGGTGTCCTGGTGAAGTTTCCGGCCCGGGAGGCCAGGTAGAGCCGATTCAGCCGAGCGACAGGGTTCGGTACGTGCCAGGAAACAAGCCTCCTGAGTTCTATTTGAAGCTTTCAACTGTCACATAGTGTGGCTTCAGGCAAAACCCTCCCGCAGGTGGGGCCCGGTGTCCGTGATTCCTAAGCCCCAGCTACCAAAGCTTATGATTCAGGGGTCAGACCGGGAAAGATGCGGCCCCTTTTTCACCCCAAATGTGGAGGAGGTGGATGGGCACTGGATCCGGTGGGTCGAAGGACCAGCGGACCAGGAGGGTTCGGGCAATGTCCTGACGGGGCGGGGCATGAGAAGCGGGTTCAGGGCATGCAAGCCTCTGATTGGCTGTGCTGCCCTTCGCTCCGCCCCCTGCTCTATAAGGCACGCGCGCGGCTCGCTCAGGGCCAGTGTGGGGGCTGCGGCTGCATCTCACCTTGGTTTGCTGCGTCCATCCTACCCCGCGTGGGGGAACAGCCGGTCAGACCCGCGGACCTGCCGCTGAGGGCCGCCAGGGGTGGGGGGCGGGGGATGCCGGGCTGCCGCATCAGCGCCTGCGGCCCGGGGGCCCAGGAAGGGTCGGCGGAACCAGGATCCCCGCCGCCGCCGCCGCCCCGGGAGCCCCTGTCGTGCCCTCAGCCCCCATCCCCAAGTCCGACCTTGACCCCAACCCGGGCTCAGGCCTCATCGCAGCCGGAAGCTGCCCAGGAGTCGGCGGGCTCCGCTGAGGGGCTGGAGCTGCAGCGCTGGCGCCAGGGCGCTAGCGGGGGCGCGGGGGGCCCCGGGCCAGCAGGGGGCGCGGGCGGCGGCCCGGGCGCCGCGGCGGCTGCGGGCGGCCGCGCGCTGGAGCTGGCCGAAGCGCGGCGGCGACTGCTGGAGGTGGAGGGCCGCCGGCGCCTGGTGTCGGAGCTGGAGAGCCGCGTGCTGCAGCTGCACCGCGTCTTTTTGGCGGCCGAGCTGCGCCTGGCGCACCGCGCCGAGAGCCTGGGCCGCCTGGGCGGCGGCGTGGCGCAGGCCGAGCTCTACCTGGCGGCGCACGGGCCGCGCCTCAAGAAGGGCTCGCGCCGCGGCCGCCGCGCCCGCCCGCCCGCTCTGCTCGCCTCGGCGCTGGGTCTGGGCAGCTGCGTGCCCTGGGGCGCCGGGCGCCTGCGGCGGGGCCACGGCCCGGAGCCGGAATCGCCCTTCCGCCGCAGCCCGCCCCGCGGCCCCGCCTCACCCCAGCGCTGACCTCCGGCGCCGGGACCCCTGGCCACCCCGACAGACCACCGCCCGGGGGCCGACCGATGGACTGCGGACGCCGGCTGGGTGGAACGACGTCACCGACGCGGCTGGACAGATTGGCCGACCACAGGAAGAGACAGTCGGGGGGCCGGGGGCCCAGTAAAGAAGGCGAAACCGAGGTGTGGTCTTAGCGGCTGGCATCCGAGGGGCGGGGCGGGGAGACTTCCCTTCCCTAGAGCTTCTGGAGTTCGCTGGGTCCTTAAATAAAGCTGTCTACTTTCTGTTGCCGCCTCTCCCAGAACTCCTGGGGAATGAGGTAGTGGCACTAAGTCCCCATTATAGAGTTGGACACGTTGAGGCCGCTCACATCCCAGGAAGGGTTTGCCAGCAAACTTTTACCGGTTGGAGCAACCCCACTCTCACCTCCTCAGCGTTGCCTTTCCTGGGTCCCTTGGGGCTGTAAGAAGAGTCTTGCCCTTGAGGCCGCTACTCTCTGGCGCGCCCTTCGCAAGGCAGAGTAATGAGACTCCAGGATGGGGTGGCGGCTGGCACAGCGATGTCGCTTTGAGTTGTCTCCTAAGGCCCTATTTCCCATTTGGGAAGATGGAATCGCAGAGAGGTGAAGGATTTGCTCCCATCATACTATGCTTAGGCCCTTTCACTTCTGGGGGACAGGTCTTTCCTCAGGCCTTCATGCAGCTTCAGTAAGAGCTGACTCAGACGACCAGGGGTGTTTGGTGATTGCCTGAAGGTTTGCAGGTTCTCCTAGGGGCTCCCAACCTGTCGCTAAGATGGCTCTGCCAGGGATGGAGCCAGGTGCATCCTGTAATGGGGCCCCAGGGGAGCAGGTGTGTCATCGGCTTCTAGATTCTAGAAAGTGGGGCCTTAAAGGGCCAGACCTGAAATGAGATGCACTTCCCTTCCACATGCCCTTCAGGCCCTGCTCCCCTGCTCCACTCAGCTGTGAATGGCCTGGCTGCTGCTTTGCTGCCCACCAGCTGAGCTGACTGCAGTCTCACTTGTTGGTCTGTGAACTGGGTATTTTCACCTCCTGGAAGGTTTGTCTGGAGGTTAACACAGGGCAGAGGTCTGTCTTCTCCCATAAATCATGGAAGAATGTCTTATTCTCTTACGTCACACCTAGAAACAGGCACTGCTTTTGCTGCTGGAGCCCGGGAGCTGATCTGAAGTCCTTATTTTACAGAGTGGCAAGGTCACCTGCCAGCTAGGGACAGACCTAGGTCCTCGGGCGTGTGTGTGTCCTTCTTGGTGTATCTCTCTGCTGGCCAGGGGCAGGGGCTAGGTAGAACTGGTGTCAGCTTGTCTGCCGTGTGACCTAGAACAACGGTCTCCAACCTTTTTGGTTCCAGGGATCAGTTTCTGGGAAGACAATTTTTCTACCCACTGGGGCTGGGTGGGGGTGGGGGGAGATGGTTTGGGGATGATTCAAGTGCATTACATGTATTGTACACTTTCTTTCTACTGTTATTATGGCAGCTCCACAGCAGATCATCAGTCATTAGATCCCAGAGACTGGGGACCCATGACCTAGAACAACTCTATCCCTGATATGGGCTGGTTTCCTCAGTCCCTCTCTGAACATAACTGTCCCTCCTCATGTCAGAGCTTTTGGGGGAGAAGGGGGTAGAACGAGGCAGTTAAGAGTCACGGGATTCTGGTTTAATCCTAGAGTCCTTGGGGTCAGGTGCGCTGCTCTGAAAGCCAGAGCCCCACGGGCCCTCACCTATCCCTTCCCCAGCCAGCTCTTCCTCTTCGCAGGTACCAAACTTCTTTCTGGTTTCTCAGCTCACAGCCAGGCCTTCCTGAACCCATTCCCAGCTGGGGAGGGGAAGTCCAGGAGGAGGCCTCAGAGACAGAGCTTGGGGACCGAGAGCAGCGAGGGGCCCTGGCATCCTCTGTCTGCCCAGAGAGAAAGGACCTTCCAAAGCCACTTGGGTCACTTTGGGTCTAGAGGCCCAGAGAGGACAAGGACTCCCTGGAGGTGACGGCGAGGAGCTTCAGGCTGCAGTGCTGGGCTGTAGCCAGGTCTGTTTGCATGGGAGGGACTCTTGGTCCCCAGAAGCTTTTAGCTAATGGTTTAAAGTGCTCTGTGTCACCACCATTTTGCCTTTCTCTGGGATTTATTGGTAATCAGCTTTGCTCTGGTTTGGAAGAGGGGAGTGGGGTAGATAGGGAATTAGAGCTGGCTCTTGCTGGAGAAAGTGGTATATGTAGAGATGGAGATTGGTCCCAGGCTCACAGGCAGCTCTGTCCCCCCCTCCACTTCCAGAAGTCTCAGGCTTCTCATTAAGGGCCTCAGCCAGGGCTCACAGTGCTCAGTGACTTAAACCCCAGCTCTTGGTTCAGTGCTCTGTCCGGGGGCACCACAGCCCTACTACCCCTCAGCCAACAAATACAAGTCATCTTCCCACCCTTGCTTGGCCCACCCAGGATGCCTCTAGAAGGTTCCATTTTCTCCTCAATTAACAAACATTGATCTCTGCTCAGTCCAAGCGCTCAAGAAGCAGCACTGAATCAGAGTCTCTGCTTTCAAGGGCTTGTGTCTCCCAACCCTCTTCTAGGCAGCCTGCCCTGGTGGTGTTGGAGGAGGGCTGTCTTCAGGTCTTCACAGCTATGAAGTGAGTGAAAGTCGCTCAGTCGTGTCTGACTCTTCGTGATTCCATGGGCTCTACAGTCCATGGAATTCTCTAGGCCAGAATACTGGAGTGGATAGCCATTCCCTTCTCCAGGGGATCTTCCCAACCCAGGGATAGAACCCAGGTCTCCCACACTGCAGGCAGATTCTTTACCAGCTGAGCCACCAGGGAAGCCCCACAACTAACTCTCGCCCCTGGTTATATGTTGTAGCCCCCAGCCCCACCCCCCATGACTTCCTAAACACTTTCTAGATGGCCCAGCCATCTAGCCCTGGAGACTGGACTGAGGACAGGCGATCCTGAGGGATCTGTGCACTGAGGACCCTGATGGCCACCAGGGAAGCTGGGATGTCAGCAAAGCGAAGGGAGGGGCGGGAAGACCAGTTTAGGGATTTAGAGGAACCTGCTCCTCTTCTGGATGAGTCCTTTTGCTCTCTTGGCTGGGCCCTGGGCAAGTGTGGCGTCCCCGAGCGGCGCCACCAGAGGGCAGTGTGGGCTGCTTCCTGGGGCGTGGGGGCGTGGCCTGGAGCAGGTTCCCTCTGTCTATATCCCCGCCCCCAGCCAGTCCCTACTCCCATTGCCCGGGCATCTCAGGCGTTGAGCTTTAAAGGGTCTGCCAAGAACGTGCGGGTACTGGCGGTCACTTACAGAAAGGGCGGGCCTCTGACCTCAGAGGGCAGGTCCATCAGGAGAGACTTTCTTGGAGAGAGAGGTTGCACCTGTTGGCGGTTACCGTCTGAGTAAAAGCCCAGAGTACTTTACTCCGCCCAGATGTGTTAGACTGATAATTGATCAGAACACTCCATCTCTGCCGCCGCCACCTGGGGATCAAGGTGGCTTCCTAGAGATTAGGTTGAAGCGACAATTCGCAGCTAAGGTGCTCCAAGCCTGCAGTGAGTAGTCTCTAGAAGGCTCCCTTATCCTGACAGCCAGGTCCCTCCAGGGGGTCCCAGTCTTCTCTGAGCTGAAGGAGGAGAACCTTTATCTCCTCCCCTCCTTTACATCCAGCGTGGGAGGAGGTATTTGGGAAAGCTGGGACATCCCCAGCTTATTTCTTCCTGCATTAGATCTTGACCGCACCCTGGCTAGGAGTGATAAGGGAAGGGAATCCTTGGTTGTGGAATAATATATTCACCACCACATCTATGCCAGGTACTGTGCTAAGCACTTTACACCCATTAGCTGTTTCAATCCTCCCAGCTACTCTGCCAACAAAGTAGGAGTTATTCCCATTTCCACAGATGAGGAAACTGAGGGTCAGGGAGGGTGAGTGACTGGCCCAAGGACATAGAACACTTAAGTGGGGGACACCTTCAACATTAGGCTATGTGGCTTTCCATTTATCAAGATATTGAGGGCTCCACATGGGTTCTGAGCGCTCGCTCTTTAAGTCTGGGTACAGGAAACCCTAGTCCTTGGTTCTGGGGAGGGATGTGATCAGACATTGGTGGCACAAGGTGCCACCCCTCCAAGGTTTGGCCACACCCCCCAAAGGCTGGCTCCCTACCTCAGTTGTCTGTGCTCTGGGGGTATGAGTCAGGCTGAGTCAGCAAGGGCAGGTCAGGGAGGCTTAGGGCCTGGGTTTTGCCTTGGAGGGCTTCCTCCTCCCCTGTGTACCTGGGCTGGCATGATTGGAGAGTGAAGAGCCTGGGATGGTAGAGGAGGAGGGTGACTGGCTCCATGGTGGGGCAGAAAGTGTCCTGTTACTTAGAACAAGAAAGACCTGGGATTTAGTCCTGGCCTGGAGCTCAGCTTCTCAGCTGGGAGAACTTGGGTAAATGACTTCCCTTCTCTGAGTCCGATTCTTATATGTGTGTGTGTGCGCGCATGCGTGTGCATGTGTTTTATGGGGAGTTAGGGAGGAGATAATTTCCAAGTATTAAGTGAGAGGTCACATTAAGTGCCTAGCACACAGTGAAGGTCTGTAAATGCTCGGAGCCAACCTATCTGGCCTAGGAGAGGCTTCCAGGACAGAGCCCCCAGGCAGTGTGGGCCTTGGCTTCTCCAGAGCATCGCCATATCAGGCATCCCAGAACAGTCCCCCTTCTCCCCCCAGTGCCTTCCCGAGGAACTCCATAAGGGGAGACGTGGAGGAGGGGCAGGCGTTTTATCCCAGGAACATTCCATTCCAGCTGCTCAGACCAGTGGGGATCCCAGCCAAGGACAGAGGCCCAAGGGAGCTCACCCCAGGAGCCCCCACCCCTTCCAGGGCGGGAGCCAGTGGAGCCCTTTTCCAAAATATTGCCCTTGCGCCTTCTCTCCACAATGGCCTCTCTTAAGGAGGTAGATGCTGAAGGGTTTGGGTAGGGCTGGGTGGCTGTGTGTGAGAGAGAGAGGTAATGAAAGCTC